GGAGATGGCCCGGGTTCGGGCTCAGAATAGCAGTGGCATGATGGGCGGTCCACAGAAGATGCTAATGCCTTCACAGTTTCCCAACCAGGGCCAGCAGGGATTCTCTGGGGGCCAGGCACCCTACCAAGCCATGCCCCAGGACTTGGGCAACACCCAAGACATGTTTAGCCCTGACCAGAGCTCAATGCCCATGGGGACTGTGGGTACCACTCGGCTCAGCCACATGCCTCTGCCCCCTGCATCCAATCCTCCTCCTGGGTCTGTGCATTCAGCCCCCAGTCGGGGACTGGGCAGACGGCCCTCAGACCTCACCATCAGTATTAATCAGATGGGCTCGCCGGGCATGGGGCACCTAAAGTCACCCACCCTTAGCCAGGTGCACTCACCCCTGGTCACTTCACCCTCCGCCAACCTCAAGTCACCCCAGACTCCCTCGCAGATGGTGCCCTTGCCTTCCGCCAACCCTCCAGGACCTCTCAAATCGCCCCAGGTCCTCAGCTCCTCCCTCAATGTCCGTTCACCCACCGGCTCACCAAGCAGGCTCAAGTCTCCCTCCATGGCGGTGCCTTCTCCAGGCTGGGTGGCTTCGCCCAAGACAGCCATGCCCAGCCCCGGGGTCTCCCAGAATAAGCAGCCGCCTCTCAACATGAACTCTTCTTCCACCCTGGGCAACATGGAACAGGGTGAGTCAGCTGGATAGGCCAGTGGGGTTACTGGACTCCAGTTGGGCACCTCTGTGGTGGGTGGGCATGGGCTGGGTCAGGTGGTGGGAGTGGTGTTGAACTTTGTCTGAGGTACCATGTACATGTCCCAGGCATTTTGAGGGGTCACACTTGGGACTTGGGATCTCCCCACTGCCTGGGGCCCTGAGGCTACAGGAATTGCTTTGAATATGGGTGGGCTGTGGTGGTTGTGAGGGGCCTGTGTTCAGTGGGATGTAGCTGTGTCTGGTGGGGTTAGGTGGAGATTTGGTGGGCTGACCTCTTCCTAAACCCCTATTAAAGCAGCAAATTCACTTTCCACTCCCCACTTTCTTTGTCTCCCTGCTTCTATAGGTGCCCTCCCGCCTAGCGGCCCTCGGAGCAGCTCCTCAGCGCCTCCTGCCAATCCTCCCAGCGGCCTCATGAACCCCAGCCTACCATTCACTTCCTCCCCAGATCCCACACCTTCCCAGAACCCCCTGTCACTGATGATGTCCCAGATGTCCAAGTACGCCATGCCCAGCTCCACCCCGCTCTATCACAATGCTATCAAGACCATCGCCACCTCAGACGACGAGCTGCTGCCTGACCGGCCCCTGCTACCCCCTCCTCCACCATCCCAGGGCTCCGGGCCAGGTGCGAGGACAGGCAGGGGCCACTGGGAATGGGAAGAGTGGGCATGGCCGGGAGTCGCCCCTGTGGTCGTGCTGGCGTCTCCATGCTTCCACAGGGCTCTAGGCGTTGGTCTGAGGTCCGGGGCCCTGTTCCCATTCTGGTAGTCATTCAGTGAAACCCAGCCCACAGCACTCAAGTGGTCTTTTCTGCATCCCACACTGTGTCCATGGCAAATGGGGCCAGATCTTGGGCTCTTGGCTTTTAGCTTAAATTTTCCCAGTCCCTTCCCTTGCAACCAAGGGCAGCTGGCCAGTGGTAAAAGGTGGGGAGTGGGGAGAAGGACTGGTTCTGTCTTCCCCAGCTGGTGCACACAGTTCTGACCTCCTTGTCCTCTTTCTTACAGGTATCAGCAACAACCAGCCCAACCAGATGCACCTGAACTCCGCTGCTGCCCAGAGCCCCATGGGCATGAACCTGGCAGGCCAGCAGCCCCTGTCCCATGAGCCCCCACCTACCATGTTGCCCTCCCCCACCCCTCTGGGCTCCAACATTCCACTGCATCCCAATGCACAGGGGACAGGAGGGCCTCCCCAAAACTCAATGATGATGGCTCCAGGGGGCCCAGACTCCCTGAATGCCCCCTGTGGCCCTGTGCCCAGCTCCTCCCAAATGATGCCCTTCCCCCCTCGGCTGCAGCAGCCCCATGGTGCCATGGCCCCTGCTGGGGGTGGGGGCGGGGGACCTGGCCTGCAGCAGCACTACCCTTCAGGCATGCCCCTGCCTCCGGAGGACCTGCCCACCCAGCCGCCGGGCCCCATGCCCCCCCAACAACATCTAATGGGCAAAGGCATGGCTGGGCGCATGGGAGATGCATACCCACCAGGGGTGCTCCCTGGGGTGGCATCAGTGCTGAACGACCCTGAGCTGAGCGAGGTGATCCGGCCCACCCCGACGGGGATCCCTGAGTTCGACTTGTCAAGGATCATCCCCTCTGAGAAGCCAAGCAGCACCCTCCAGTACTTCCCCAAGAGTGAGAACCAGCCCCCCAAGGCCCAGCCCCCCAATCTGCATCTCATGAACCTGCAGAACATGATGGCGGAACAGACCCCGTCTCGGCCCCCCAACCTCCCGGGCCAGCAGGGCGTCCAACGGGGGCTCAACATGTCCATGTGCCACCCTGGACAGATGTCCTTGCTGGGAAGGACAGGTGTGCCCCCACAGCAGGGCATGGTGCCCCACGGCCTGCACCAGGGGGTCATGTCCCCACCACAAGGCCTCATGACCCAGCAGAATTTCATGCTGATGAAGCAACGGGGTGTGGGGGGCGAGGTCTACAGCCAGCCCCCCCATATGCTCTCCCCACAGGGCTCCCTCATGGGCCCCCCTCCCCAGCAGAACCTCATGGTGTCCCACCCCCTGCGGCAGCGCAGTGTGTCTCTGGACAGCCAGATGGGCTACCTCCCAGCGCCGGGCAGCATGGCCAACCTGCCCTTCTAGTTGTCCCATTGGGGGCTGAAGCTGGGCAATATTGCAAATATGCTAACCTTAAAAAAGTTTCTTCCCTCCAGTGTTGGGATGGCCTGGGTCCAGGGTTGGGGTAGAGGGGTGGGAAGGGGCTTGTGTGGGGAGTGGCATTTGTGGAAACCAGATGTGCTGGCAGCTTAGGGGGAAGTGGCAGAGTGGGGTGGGGGGGTTTGGGATTGGGGTTTGTTCCGTTTCTGCCTCCAGGACTGCCCCTCCCTTCCCTCCGGATTCCTATGGAACCTCTATTTTCCCTCTTTCTCTGCACCACCCCCACTTTCAACTATGCTTTGGGTCCTTGGGGGAGAGGTGAAGGAGAGGAAGGGTCTCCCCTTTTTGTCCCTTTGTTCCGCTTTCTCCTCATTGCCCAAGCTCCACTTCTCTCCTCTCGGTTTCTCTGCTCCTCCCGGTTTTCCTTCTGTCTTTTCCTGCCTCATTTCCTTTCCCTGCTGACGTGGCTGACCCCTTCTCCCAACCCCCTCTGCAGGCGGCTGGCCAGGTGGGCAGGTGCCAGCCGGAGCTGTAAATAGAGCGCTGCGCTTTTGTGCTGGTTTGTGCGTGTGCTGTATTTCTGTGTTTTGATAGAAGTCACACAAAAAAAAAACAAAGGATAAAAGAAACCCTTTCCCCTTCTTCAGATGATTGCCCCCTCCATTCCCCCCTGGACCCAGGGACATTCAGTCCTACACACCCACCCCTCCGTTTGCAGTGTCTCTGGGTCCATAAAGGATACCATTTCTGTCCCCTCTCCAAATAGTAAGACAACAAGATGCCCACACCTAAACTGAGGTCACACCACCAAGGCTTCCACCTGGTGAGTCCTAGCAGGGCTGAGACCCCAGGGTGGCAGCCTGTCCGCTGCTGAGTCATTCAGGGAGAAACGTGTGCACGTGTTTTCCCACACCAGTGACATGGCCCCGGCTTCCTGCTGTGGATGTCTGGGTGCCCCTGCTGCTACATCTTAGCCAGAACTTGAAGTCCTTTATCCCCAGTCTGGGATGAAGAAAAGGAAGAAGGGGCAGTATCTGGTGGCCCCCTTGAGTGGAGCCACGGATGAGGTGGTATGATGCCACTGGAACCCATGGCTGCAGTAGCCCTGGGCTAGGTAACCCAGGGTGGGGGGGCCCTGACTCTTCCAGAGGCCGCCACTTACTTCTTACCAAAGAAGGAAGGAACAGGGTTTGGCTGAGTCAGTCTGCTCCCCTCCAGCCTCCACCCCCTGAGGATGGAATGGGGGAAGTATTGGAGGGGGCTGGGGAGCATCCTGCCGCCTTGACTCTGCCTGCCCACTTGCTGGCAAGGTTCCTCTGCCCAGGCTCAGGGCTATATGGACCAGATCTGTCTATGCCACCCAGGCGCAGCCACTGCCTCCCAACACCCTCTGCTCTTTCCCAGAAGAGCTCCTTACCCCCACTGGTCAGAGCTGAAGCCATACATGACTGGGTGTTTAGCCCCCCTTGGTCCCAGGAGTAAAAAACTTCTCCTTTTCTCACTTCCTTTCCTGCCTTGTGAGGTGGCAGGGCAGTTCCCTGGCTGAGGCCGTTTATGCCCTGCCTCCAGGGCCAAGGGTCATTCTAGACAGGGTGTCTTCTACCAGGTCCCGGTCCTTAGCCTTCCTGACCTGCAGGCCTGGCCTCGCCTTGGCAGCTGTAACACAAAGGGAATTCACGCCCACTTCTCCCAGTCTGGTGCTGTCCTCTAGGTCCACCATCAGCCAGGTCAAGCGCCGCTTCCTTCTCCGGGGCTGGCTGCAGGCTCCTGACTCCCTTAGCACCTCCCAGGGGCCATGGCCAGGCCCTCTGCATTGGGTAGGGGGGCACCTGTCCTCCATCTGCCTACTCTCCTTCCACCTGGGCCCTATGCCCTGGAGCCCCCACCCCTGTCCCAAGACTGCCCAAAACTATCCTCCTTTAAGTGTTTCCTGCTCTGAGGAGAGGGCTCAGACCACAAAGGGCCCAGGGCCCTCCAGGTCCCCTCTACTCTCACCTCCGCCACTAGCTTCCTAAGGTGAACTCCACAGGTCAGCCTTCTTCCCTCCATCCATGGCCATACCCCCAGCCATTTTGTACCATTATATAAATATATATATATAAATATAAATATATAAATACAATATGTGAAGACATCTTCTTGGTTTTTATTTTGAAACAATTTTTAGGCTTGTTCTGGGGGTCTCTGTGCTGCCTGTACTGTATTGACCTGTTTTATAGGTGCCTTTTTATTAAAAAGAGAAAATTCAGAATCCAACCTTTTGCCTTTTTGCTTCTGTGTCTGGCTCCTCCACTGCCCAGCTTGCTCTTGGATGCTGGGAGAAAAGGGGGGATGCCAGGGATTCCCCTTCATTCTGTGGTAAGGGCACAGTCCCCCAGGCCATACTTCTGATTTCCAATGGAGGCCTCCAGTGGTCCTGACTGATTTTAGTGGAACTGGGCTATTCAGAGGGTCCCCAGCAAATGCAGGAGTCCCTGATCCTCTACCCCAGATAGAGGCTGAGAGGGAGAGTCCAGAGTGAGCGAGGAGTAGCTTCCTCTGGTTCCATCTGACTAGTATCCTCTGAGGGGCTGGGCATGGCTTCCTGGGGCTTGGGGACTTCCCTGCCCAGGTCTGCTTCTCACACTGCCCTGCCTAAGGTGACACCATGGAGTGGGGGGGGCTGGATGAGATGACTCCAGAGCACCTTTCCAGGGGGCCTCTGTCTCCATTCTTACTCATGGCTAAGGGTCCCCTCTGCTGTGGCCAGGACCCTCTGCTCTAATTTCCATGGCCCCATTGATTGTGAGGAGGGTGGCAAGGAAAGAACGAGTCTGCCTCCTTCCATCAGTGCCCAGAGTTCACCAGGACCCTGGATCCTGCCTCCCCTGGCCCAGTCTGGGAGCTCTCCACCCACCTCTGTCTGGTCCCGGGGCAGACAAGACAACTGGCTTTGATTGTCCCTCTCTGGGGGCTTCGGTGGGAGTTTTTCCTTTCTTCCACCAGTCTCCTTTGCTGGCTTGCCTTCTGCTGTTCCTTAGGACACTGGCTAGCTTCCTACTTGGACTCTGTCCTCTGTAATGCAGGACCCCTTGGCATGGGGCCAACCCAGTGCTGGTTTGGTCACTGTCCGTGATCTAAAGAAGATCAGTCCGAGCTTCCTGCTTGGTCAAGACAGTTGCAGAGTTGATCTGGCAGAATGTCCGAATTAAGGAACTAAGAATTGTTAAGGCCACACTCTGTCACTAGCTGGCCATCTCAGTTTTAATTTCTGCTCATCCCCAGTTCCAGCTTCTCCTGGCTCCATTTGGCATGGGGCATGGGAGGAGAGGTGGGTATCTGTGGCAGTCAGCAGCCCTTAAGAGGATGAGTTTATTCTGGGAGGGGATTGACTTTCCCTGTGGCCAGGGCTTTGGCCAGCTAGGGTGAGAGGTGTGTGGAGTCCTCTCAGCCCAGGGTGATGCAGATGGGTACAGAGACCTTTTGCTTTGCTTTTGATCTGCTTTCCCCTCCCTGGACTCCAGCCTAGCCTCAGGGCTGGTGGAAGAGTGACAGGGATGTCCTAGACAGAAGCTGCCTCCCTGCTGGGAGGTAGCCAACATAACACTCAGGACCCCAGCTCCTGTTGGAAGAGACTCCACCGCCACTGCCTGCCCCGAAGAAAGCAGAAACAAAGAGGGGTGCTGGGACTTAGAAGGTGGTGAGGGAGGTGGCATTCTCTGACTCAGACAGACTGCTCTTGCGCCAGCCAGGGAAGAGCTGGCACAGGGAAGCAGGGCCGGTGCAACCTAGCTTGGTCAGAAGTCGAGACAGGTCACTTCGAAACTTCACTCCAGCGAAAGTGTAGAGCATGGGGTTGAGGCAGCAGTGGGCCAGGCCCAGGAACTCGCATATGGTGATGGCCACCGGGAGAGAGCCATTCAGCTCACAGCTGTTATCCACTGCCTTCAGTCTGGCCAGGGTGTCCAGGAAGATGACAATGTGGTAAGGTGACCAGCAGAGAAAGAAGATGCTTGTCACCAGGATAGCCACTCTGACTGCTTTCTGTCGCTGAGGGCGCCGCTGGGCCTGGCACAGTCTGTGTACCACCCCCACGTAGCACCAGCCCATTACCAGCATTGGCAGCAGAAAGCCCCCAACATGGTAGAGGAAGCGGGAGGTAAACCAGGCATTGGTTTCAGCTTGGTTCTCCTGAGGGAAGGTGCAACGTGGCAGGGAGTCATTGCTGTGGGGTTGGCTGACCTTGGCGAAGAGGATCTCCGGCAAAGCGAAGAGGAAGCCTGCCAGCCAGATGGTTGCGCAGGTGATGTGGATGGAGAGGAGGCGGCGGTGACGGTAGGCGTGGACGGCATGAACGATGGCCAGGTAGCGGTCCACAGCGATGCAGGCTAGGAGCAGGCTGCTGCAGTAGAAATTGATCTTGTGCAGAGCAATCACAATTTTGCAGAGGGAGCTTCCCAGGACCCAGCCCACAGAGCCTTCAGCGATAGCAAAGGGCAGGATGAAGACTAGTAGGAGGTCAGCCACCGCCAGGTGGAACAGGAAGGTCTCCGTAGAGCTGCGCGTCTGCCGGTGCCGCTCGAGGATCACCAGCACCAGGATGTTGCCCATCAGGCCCAGGAGGAAGATGAGGCTGTAGGCTACAGGCATGAACACAGCCTTGAAGGAAGTCAGTAGGGGCCCCTCAACTGTGGAGCAGAAGTGACTTTCCTGTAGGGGGGTCTCTGTGCTGTCATTGTAGTTGGCAAACTCCTTGTACTGCAAGGACAAGGAGATAGAAGGGTGAGAAACTGAGACTCCATTTTTCCAGAGGAAGCCTAATGATGCGTAGATGTTTTCTATCCCTCCAGGAGGCTTTTGGCCCTATTCTCTCATATGTCCTGCTGATGAAATTCTAATTTTCTTTGGAGTATCCTTGAACAAATCACTTTGTCATTTCTGACTTCCTTTTTACATTCTTATCTATCTATCTATCTACCTACCTATCTATTTATTATGATGCTGGGGACGAAACCTAGGGCCTCATGCATGCTAGGCAAGTACTCTACCACAAAGTCACACCCCCGGTCTATAATTTCTGTTATTCATCTGTAAAAGGGATTAATCCCTCACAGGTTGATGATGAGGATGAAAGGGGATATATGCTGTGGATATGCTTTGTAGACTCTAAGGGATGGTGTACCTGTGACTTATTTTTTATTTATGTGTCCTTAGGTATGGAAGGCTGCAGGCTGGGGGACTGGTATCAGGACTGCCATTTGGAGACTGGATCTAGTTGGGACAAGGAGATAACTGTTCCAATTCTGAACAGAATAGAGGGCACTGAAACTGGGGATCCCACTGGCAGGGAGGGAGAGTGGGTACTGATGTGGTCTGCTGGTTTCTTCTTGATCTCTCCTCCTATTCCTGCCTGTCTTCATTATCACTGAAATTGTGGCAGCGACCTTCCATCTAGTTTAATCCACATAAGAAACTCAAGGCATGCCATATGACTCTTATTTTTAGAGGAGTGTTGCTGAAGATCAGGTTTGTTTGAACTCATGTTTATCTACCTCTGGAGCCAATGAGCAGCACCATCTGGGCTTGCCTTGAAAGATGCCTGGTGAGGGCAGATGCCTATCCCTAGCAAACTCTCTAGGTGAGGTGAGCCCCAGAACAGAAGGCCCAGGGGCAGAAGGAAGTGAAGGAGGCATCAGACCAGGCCCAGGGGAGAGAAGGAGCCTGTTTTAACTGAAGGGGGTGTGCCCACTATGTCTCCGGAAGTTCCCTCCTCCCCATCCTCCTCCTCTCTCCATCAGCACCCCCACCCCAGCACTGGGGTTGTTTACCAGCTAACCACAGAGGAAGACATGGTGCCTGTTTTCATACCTTTCACTCACAGCTGCCTCTGCACCTGCTCCTCCTCACCTCCCAGGTCTGTTCTTCCCACCCTCCCCATCCACCCCATCCCCGTGCAATGCAAAACCAATGATACCCAACTTTTTTTTTTGTGTGTGTGGTATTGGAGATTGAGTGCAGGGGCGCTCTACCATTGGGTTACATCCCCAGCCCTTTTATTTATTTATTTTACTTTGAAACAGGGTCTCCTTAAATTGCCAAGGCTGGCCTCAAATTTGTGATCCTCCTGCCTCAGCCTTCCAAATAACTGGGATTGCAGTCATGCACCACCGTGCCTGGCATAATTCCCAACTTATGTGGGTTCTAAAGACAATTCTATAAATGATCAGCCCCAGGGAGGCAGAGGTGGGTGGAGTACTCTGTCCCCTCTCTGGGTGGTCTCACTCAGCCCCCTTTCGTGGGGGAAGGGTCTTTCACAAACAGTGGGTCATTCACTGGCTGCCACAGGACTTTCTTGCCACACAGGAGCCCCCAAATGGTTCACACCCTCACTCCCAGTGGTGGGAGAGCCCATTCCCCACTTGGGACTTTCCTTCTGGTCCCTGGAGAAGATGACTCCATGAGAAGGGGATGGGGAGATACAGTGATGCAATGACAAAGCCATCTGCCACCCCCCCAGCAGGGAGGGAGACGCTTCTTGTATCGCCTCAGTGCAGCCTTTCTTCACCCTATTGTTCAGGACTGCCATCTCTCCATGGGTCCCTTTCCTGCCAACTTCTCCACTTCTGTCCACTTCTTGCATGGAGGACAGGGTGAGTCTTCTAACACATAAATCCCAACTGGGTGGCACATGCCATAGTCCAGCTACTCTGGAGGCTAAGATGGGAGAATCACTTGATCTCACGAATTTGAGACTAGTTTGGGCAACAGAGTCTCAAAAGCAAAACAACAGCAAAGAAGCCCTCCACAAATCTCATTACATCAGTGTCCTGCTTAAAGTCCCTTCCTGGTTCCCTGCCACCTGTAAGCAGTGTTTGTTTCATTTTGTCTTTATCTATTTTTTTTTCCAATTTCATATTTAATAGCAAGGCCATGATAAGAAAAAGGCTTTTTTTTTTTTTTTTTTTTGGTGCTGGGGATTGAACCCAGGGCCTTGGGTATGCAAGGCAAGCACTCTAACTTCTGAGCTATATCCACAGCCCAGAAAAAGGCACTTTTGTGATAAGGTTCATCAGGAGAAGAATGGAGTAAGTGGAACTCCTTGCATGCATTCACAACAAAGACAGTGAGTACTTGAAAGAAATGAGGCTTCTTGGCAGGTCTCCTTGGCAGGGAAAGATGTTCAATATACATTGCTAAATTTCAGAATCAGTTGCAGTCATTCCACACAACATGATTCTGTAGACTTAGCAAGTGCCCTTGATTATATATAGAATGGTTCGTTGGAGTCGAGGATCCAGGTTCTCCTTCTTGCCTTTGAACCAGAACTCTTCAATCTTTTTTTGGGGGGTGGGTGGGTAGGGGGATACCAGGGATAGAACTCAGGGGCACTCAACTACTGAGCCACATCCTCAGCCCTATTTTGTATTTTATTACAGGGTCTCATTGAGTTGATTAGCAGATTGCCATTGCTGAGGCTGGCTGTGAACTTGCAATCCTCCTGCCTCAACTTTCCAAGCTGCTGGGATTACAGGCTTGCACCAACACACCCAACTGGAGCTCTTTACTCTTCATTTATTTATTTTTGGGGGGGGGGTGCTGGGGATTGAACCCAGGGCCTTGTGCATGTGAGGCAAGCACTCTACCAAGTGAGCTATATTCCTAGCTCTTGAGCTGTTCACTCTTGACTATGTGGTCAAAAACACATAGTTTTTTTTTTTTTTTTAACTTTGTCTTGTTTATTTATTTTTTTTAAAGTGGTGCTGAGGATCGAACCCAGCACTTCACACGTATGAGGCAAGCGCTCTGCCACTGAGCCACAACTCCAACCCCCAACACATAGGTTTTTGTTTAAGGAAATTGTTCTATTTTCATTTGCAAGTCATGGACCTCTACAGTGAGACCTAAACTCCTTTGAGGACCTTTAAATGCCTCCAAAATGTATATTCCTCTGATCTGTCAAACCTTATCTTCCATGTTACTGTGTTAAGTACTCTGTGCTCCAGGGATACCATTCTACCAGCTGCTGTTCCCAACACCCCACCTGCTCCTTCCACCAAACTTTTGCTCAAACTCCTGCTTTGGCCCAGCAGGCCTGTCTCCTCAAGTTTGCCTACGTAATTCCTGCCCTTCCTTCAAGATCCAGCCTCCTACATACAGCCTTCCTAGTTCCTTCCACAAAATTACAGCCTTGCTTGGGGTCAACAGGATTTAGTCTGCTTTTGTATTCTGCAGTTCTTGCCTCTTGCATCTATCTAGGTTTCTTTTGCCTTCTTGGGAATTGTTTTCAAGAGTCATTTAATATGACCCATTGGCCTCTTACTGCAATTGAGCAGGAGGTCAAGGGGAAACAGAGGTGAGCCGTCCCCCTGCTGAACACAGGCTTCAGGCAGGGAGGGGAAATGCGGAGGTTGAGGCAGTTAGTGGGGCTGGACTCCACCTATCTGGGCAGTGGCTGGAGCCTGGCTGCCCCATAGTTCAGGGGAGGGCACAGGACCAGCCAGCCTATCTGGCCCACAGGCTCAACTTCTCACCCGCCCTTCAGAGTATCTAGGCTGATTGGTTATTGACTATTTAAAGTCAACACGTGGAACATCTCTCCAGGGACCCCATCTCCAGAGAACCCAAGTTTGTGGGAAGTGGTCTGTCTCTTTCTCCTTGACAATAGGTATTGGTTTTGCAAAGTGCGCAGAAAGAATGGAAGATGGGAGGAAGCTGGTTTGAGGGGTACTGGAAGTTGTCAAACAGACATTTTGGGGGTTTGTGAGTGACATGTGTTAAAGCCACTTCTCATACACAGGAGTTCTCATTGCTCCCCCCCCAAAACAAAACAAAACAAAACAAAACAAAACAAAACAAAAAAACTCTTAGTAATGCAAGGTTGGCTTTGCCCCTGGTGGAAAGAGATGAAGAGTCAGGAATCCCGAATGCTGTGGGGCCTATACTGCTTACCAGAGCGCTCATGACTTACAACAGAGGGAGCGCAGGGTGGGCAGCTGGATGACAGGCTCACTCACTCTTTGTCATAAGAAGCAGCAGAAACCCAAGGCCCTCATGCCCACTCTGATGGCAACAGACACCCTGTTTGGACACTTCGGGGGCCCATTTGGGGCCATAGCAGCATGTGGCACCAACAGGCACCCACCAGACCACAACCAACACACAGACTAGGAACCCCTGCCCCAAAGAAGGCAAGAAAACATGAAAACTGCAGTGAAGCTGGGCACAGAGCTTTTGGGAATCTAGTTAGAAAATTGCCATGAGTACTGGGGCAGGGTGGGGCTAGGGCAGCATCTGGCAGCAGGGTGGAGTAGGGAAGGTGGGGTGCAGAGATTCAAAATACTTGGCCCAAGGTGGGGTCCACAAATGTTCCTCTTCTCCTTCCCTCCATGTAGGACCCAGGCCCCTCCCTGGCAATTAAGATCTCCAAACCCCATATGACTTCTATGAATCACGAGGCTACCTTAATGCCCTGGACTGGCCAGGATCTGCTGGCTCAGATTCTCTGTCAGCAGGTATTGCAGGGTGAGGCTGGTGGTCTAGGGCATTCCTCAGGGATCTACCCTGGCCTCTCTCCTCCTTAGCAGATGGAGACAGGGCTGGGGGATACTTTAAACGATTCAGAGTTCTCCATGAGCTGGCACCAGAGGCCCAAAGTAATCAGGTGGGATTGCATGAGTGAAAATAGAAACAGGTGTGGTGGCAGAGGCCTTTAATCCCAGCAGCTCAGGAGGCTGAGGCAGGAGGATCGCAAGTTCAAAGTCAGGCTCACTAATTTAGCGAGTTCCTAAACAATTTTGCAAGACTCTGTAAATGAAAA